GCAGCCTCAGCATGGCCAGAGAAGCGGTGCATCGGTGCGCGCCCAGGATCCGAACCCGGGCCGCCAGTAGCGGAGCGAGTGCCCTTAACCACTAAGCCACGGGGCCGGCCCTGACAATGTTTTCAATTGGGCTGACTCTTTAATGATTTGTAGGAGTTCCTTAAATGTTCTTGATACTAGTCCTTTGTCAGCTATATGTGTTGCAAATAAGCTTCTATTTCGTGACTTGCTTTGCACACTCTTTATGGCTCTTTTGATAAACAGAAGTCATTAACATTAAAGTCATGGAATGCATCAATCTCTTCCCTTAAGTAGAGATTTCTGTAACTTATTTAAGAAAGCCTTCCCCACTTCCACATATTGAGACCTTTGACCCATCTGGAATCAGTTTTGGGGTACAGTGTGAGGTAAGAGTCTGGTTTCATCTTCCTGTATAGATGTCAGATTTTCACAGCACCATTATTAGAGTCCTCCTTTTCCTGTTTCTTTCTTTTTTTTTTTTTTGTGAGGAAGATCAGCCCTGAGCTAACATCCATGCCAATCCTCCTCTTTTTGCTGAGGAAGACTGGCCCAGGGCTAACATCCGTGCCCATCTTCCTCCACATTATGTGGGACGCCACCTCAGCATAGCCGGAGAAGTAGGGCATCAGTGTGCGCCCAAGATCCGAACCCGGGCTGCCAGCAGCGGAGTGCACGCACTTAACCACTACACCACGGGGCGGCCCCCTTTTCCTGTTTCTTGAAGTCATACAGCGAGTGTCCACTTATGCATAGGTCTCTTTCAGGGCTCTCTCTTCTGTCCCCTTGATCCAGTTGATTAGCCTGGCACCAATTACTAGAGCCTCATAATAAATGTTAACTGATAGAGCAAATCCTTCCACATTGTTGGTCTTTCCTTTAAGTAAATCTTAGCAGTCTTGTTCATCGCACTGCCATATAAACGTCAGAATCTGCTTGTCAATTCCATCATTGAAAAAATGACTTTTAGTACTTTGATTGAGATTACATTGAATCTATAAGTCAAGTTGGAGATCTTACATTTTACAACACTAACTCCTCAAATCCATGAATATGGTATATATCTACATTTATTAAGTTCTTCTTAATTTCCTTCAATAAAATTTTACAATTACTCCACAGAGGTCTTGCATACTTTTGTTAGATTTCTTCCTAGGCACTTCTTTTTGCTATTATAAACTTATATTTTCTTCTTTTCTTTTCTTTCTTTTTTTTTTTTTTTGCTTAGGAAGACTGGCCCTGGCCCTAACATCTGTGCCCATCTTCCTCTTTTTTGTATGTCAGACGCCACCACAGCATGGCTTGATGAGTGGTGTGTCGGTCTGTGCCCAGGATTTGAACCTGCAAACCCCGGGCTGCCAAAGCGGAGTGCGTGAACTTAACCACTACGCCACCAGGCCAGCCCCATTCTTTTATTTTCTAATAGTTATTGCTAATACATGGAAATATCATTAACTTTGAATATTAATTTGCATCCAGCCACATTGTTAAAATACCTCGTTAATTATAATAAGTTAGTGTCAGATTCTTTTGGATCTTCTATGTATATAAATATATAATCTACAAATACTGACAGTTTCATTTCTTCCTCTCCAACCTTTTTTTTTTTATTATTATTTATTTTTCCCCCAAAGTCCCAGTAGATAGTTGTATGTCATAGTTGCACATCCTTCTAGTTGCTGTATGTGGGACGCGGCCTCAGCATGGCCGGAGAAGCGGTGCGTCGGTGCACGCCCAGGATCCGAACCCGGGCCGCCAGTAGCAGAGTGCGCGCACTTAACCACTAAGCCACGGGGCCAGCCCTCTTCCTCTCCAATCTTTAAATTATTCTTTTGTTTTCCTTGCCAGAGTGCACTGATCTGACCTCCAATGCTAAGCAGAAGTGGTGCTAGCTGACATCTTTATGTTGTTACTGATCTCAAAGAGAATTTCTTTTCATGTTTTGCTATTAAATATGATATTTGCTGTGGATGTTTTATGGTTGCCCTTTACTAAATTTGGAAAATTTCCTTTTATTCCTGGATTTCTAAGAGGTTTTTTTAATTGTGAAATTTTTGTTGTACATTATTGTTTGTCAGTCACCATATAAATGCATCCCTCCAGCCCTTGTGCCCACCCCCCACCTCCCTTGCCCCTGGTAACCACCAAACAGTTCTATCTGTCCGTGTGTTGGTTTATCTTCCTCATATGAGTGAAATCATGCAGTGTTTGTCTTTCTCCTTCTGGCTTATTTCGCTTAACATAATACTCTCCAGGTCCATCCATGTTGTTGCAAATGGGACGATTTTGTCTTTTTTATGGCTGAGTAGTATTCCATGGTGTATATATACCACATCTTCTTTATTCTAAGAGTTTTTAACATGAATGGATGCTGAATTTTATCGAGTACTTTTTTATATCTACGTAGACTGCTGCCATGAACTGGGAGGTCCAAGGACTGTTTGTCACAGTCTCCAATGTGATAAGTTCAGAAAATGGGAGAAAACATTTAGAAACAGGACACACAAGACACAAGCCTTACAAAAGTCCCAGTCAGTAACAGATTGGAAGTTTTAGCATATAGTTTGAGAAATGCTATGGCTAGCTCTACATTTCTCTTTGCCAGAAAATATCTATTCTGCTCTCTCGTTCATGGATGATATTTTCACTGGGTATAGGATTCTAAGGTGACAGTTTTCTCTCTTAGTACAGTGAAGTTATAATATCACTTACTGTCTTCTGACTTCTAATGTTTCTTTTGAGAAATCAGCTGCCAGTCTAACTGTGGGTCCTATGAAAATACAGTCATGTGTCACTTAACAATGAGGATGCGTTCTGAGAAATGCATCATTAGGTGACTTCACTGTCATGAGCACATCACAGAGTGTACTTACACAAACCTAGATGGTATAGCCTGATACACACCTAGGCTCTATGGTACTAATCTTATGGGACCACCATCGTACCTGCGGTCCATCATTGACTGAAACGTCATTATGTGGTGCATGACTGTAAGGTCTTTTTTTATTTTCTGGCTGCTTTTATATTCTGAAATTCCCCTATGTTCTGTATAAGTGAGGACTTTTTACTCATCTTGTTTTGGACTCTAAAGCATCCTGGAATCTGTGGATTTGTTCTTTCATTCGTTCTGGAAAATTCTCAGATATTGACACACATTACCTCTGTCCCACTGTTGTTCTGTTCTTCTAAAACTCTTATTAGATGTATATTTAACTTCACTATATCTGCAATGTCTCTTAACCACCCCTCCATATTTCCCATCTTTTTATCTCTCTGTGCTGGATTCTGAATGATTTCTTCTGAACAAATTCTCTCTTCAGCTTTTATTTGGCTTATTATCTGTCTCTCCAGGAGACTATAAACCACATGAGAGCAAGGCCCTGTCTGTTCTGTTCACTGCTGTGTCCTCAACACCTAGAAGAGTACCTGGCACTTAGCAGGCACTCAATAAATATTTGTTGGATGAATGAATGTCACTAGATAACTACATCCTTTCTTGACCTCATGGGGCACTTGCCAGAGCTCTATTTTAGGGACCCTGATCTACAATTCTCCATAATCACGTTTGTTAGGGCAAAGAAATCCATGGAGTCGAGCAAATAAAATCATCCTGCTTGGGCCTGACTCTGGTGAGCCTGCATGGAAGACTAAGGAGAATCAATTCAAGGAGCCAACACTCCCTAAGCCACTGTACTATCAGGAAACAGCCCAAAGTCTGGCGTGCATGAATCAGAATCCAGCTGCGAAAAGGTAATATGAAGAGCTGAACAAACAGATTGATTGAGAGTCAAAAGTAGTAAAACTATAGACCCTGTGGTAGACAGAATAATGCCCTTCCTCAAAATATGTCCACATCCTAATCCCTGCAACCTGTGATTACGTGACCTTAAATGGCAAAAAAGACTTTGCAGATGTGATTAAGTTAAGGACCTTGAGACGAGGAGATGATCCTGGGCGATCTGGGTGGGCCCGGTATAATCCCAGTCATTATAAGTGAAAGAGAGAGAGTCAGAACCAGAGAATAAGGGGAGATGACAAAAGCCGAGGTCAGGGAGACGCGTGAGGAATACTCAGCCAGTGATCGCCAGCTTAGAAGACAAAGAAAGGAGACGCTAGCCGAGGAATGAAGGCGGCTCTAGAAGCTGGAAAAGGCCAGGAAACGGATTCTCCCCTGAAGCTTCCAGGAGGAACACAGCCCTGCCAACACCCTGATTTTAGCCCAGTGAAATCCATTGTGGACTTCTGTCCTCCAGCATTATAAGATAATTAATTTGAGTTATTTGAAGCCATCAAGTCTGTGGTACATTGTTACAGCAGCAATGGCAAACTAATACAGACCACCAAGATAAGTAACTTTTACACTCCTGTTTGTGATGCAATAGTGTACAAGAAATCATTTGGTCTAGGCAAGCAACTTTTTGTTAAATGAAGACTAGAATAGAAAAGAGAATGAATTCCACATAGAAAAAGTAAGTATTATTTGATGAAACTTGTTTCAGATATACGTGTGTGTGTTTACATCCATGTGCTTCTGTGTGCATATGAACTGCATTGCAATGAGTCATGGTCATCAAAACTTGAAAGAACTCCAGCCTAGAAAAGCCACATTGTTTCCAAGGTCACATAGCAAGACCTTGGGGCAGGTGGGATTAAAAATCTGTCTAGACTTTGCTGCATTACCAACATCCTCTTTTTGCAGATGAAGAAGCTGGGGCCCAGGGAGGTGAAGACTTGCCCGTGGTCACACAGCTCTGATGTGGCAGGACCAGGATCCTAGTGTAGGTTTCACTGACTCCAGAAGGTGAACCTTTCCCCTTAACCACACCAGCCCCTCAACACCCATATTCCTGCTGGAGACTGAACACAGCTCTCCCAGGTGGATGCTTTCAATAACCCCATCTTTCAGATGAGGAAGCTAAGGCTCAAAGAGGTTACACACTTGCCCCTAAATAGGATCCACAGAGTCAGGGCTCAGAACCCACCTGCCTATCCAGGGCTCTGGTCTGCTCTTGCAGCTCCGTGACCTCGGCCTGCACCTGGGCCTGGCACTTCAGCAGGTGGCCCATGTTCTCCAGCCTCTCGCTGTCTCGCAGCCGCTTGACCTGGCTCTGGGCGACGCTGATTTGCACCTGCAGTTGGTCCCGGACCTCCTGCAGGCGCTGGATCTCCTCGCTGTCCCGGCAGGGAGGTGGAGGAGAGGCCCACAAGGGGCAGAGCTCAGCATCACTAACGGCTGGACACACTGGGCCTGCCCTCCCCTCCTCAGACCCAGGAGTCCGGCCCCCAGCCCCTTTACCAGCCCCCTCGCACTCGGCTCACAGTTGCTTGTTGATGCGCTGGTGGACCTCCTTGCCATAGGCCCGCCTTTCCCCCTCCATCACTTTGCATTGTCGCTGCAGTCTGCTCAGCTCCCAATCCACTGCGGCAGGACCAGGCAAGGGACTCAATAGGAATCCAGGCCCCAGCCCCTTCCTCCCCGGGACCTAGGAATTCTGGCTCCCTTAGGGTCTCGCAAACTGCAGCTGAACTGCAGACTCAGTCCCCAGTGCCCCTCTAGGTCTGCATCTCGGTTCCTGTATCCCTCAAGCTTCCTCATCCCTTCTTACTCCCCAGACCCCAAGTTGACCTAGGGATTTTTCCCCTAACCCACTCCCGCTCCAGGTTTGGGCACACATCTGTTTCCCCACTAGAGGGCGCTCCTGGAAGGCGTCACGGTCCTCAGGGACCCGCCGCACAGGACGTGGAACTTGAAAGCTGAGAACAGATGCCAAGACAGTATTCTTGCTCCCTCCCTTCCCTTTCAGCGCCACCGCCCAGCAGTCCTCAGCCCCATCCTCCCGCCTCCTCACTCTCAGCCCATCGCCTAGGCTCAGGCTTTATTCTCTCTGCCTGGACCATCACCTCAGCCTCCTCCTCAACCTCCCGGCCTCCCCTCACAGCTCCAAAGGGTCTTTCTACCCCCAAAGCGGACCCTGCCTCTCCTCTGCTCACAGGCCTCCCCCAGTCCTCCAGCGCCCTCAGGACACAGTCCCAGCTCCTCAGCCTGGTGTTCAAGGCCCCACACGACCTGACCCTACCCACCTCTCCAGCCTCGTCCACCAGCTCCCCACCACCCATGGTCCAGTGGTTCTCAACCAGGAGGGATTCTGCCCCCATGGACATTTGGCTATGCCTGGAGACATTTCTGGTTGTCACAATGTGGGGGGAGGGGGATGCTACTGGCATGTAGTGGACAGAGGCCAGGGACGCTGCTGAGCATCCTACAATGCACAGGACAGCCCCCACGACACAGAATTATCTGACCCCAAGTGTCAACGGTGCGGAAGATGAGAAACCCCGCTCTAGCCTCATGCTGTTCCCTCTGCTGAAACACTCTTCCCTTCCTTCTCCCGTTGGTCATTCCTGGGAGGAGTTCTGGGCCCCACTCAAACTTCTCCTCCTGCAGGAAGTCTTCTCGGCCAGCCCGCTCCCCAGGCTTGGCCACCCCCTCTGTCCTGCTCCACCTCCATTCGGGTACTAGAGGGCTCTCCTGCAAGCCCTCCCAGTCCCCAGTGCCTGGCAGCACAGGACCCGGAACTTGGGAAAACTCAGGAAAAGAATGAGTGAAATAAAGCAAGAAGGTATGAATTACCTATTCCCTCCAGGAAGGCCTCGCTTCCATCCTCGGAGCGGGTGCTCCCTGGAGAGAGTCCCAAAGGCATCTTGGCCAAAGGAGGTGGGGTTCCTGTAGGGGCGACACGGGAGCCCTTCAGACAGCGGGCGGGAGAGGGCCCGGAGGAGAGTGGGCGACGAACGGCGAGGGGATAGGATTTGGAAGAGGGTGACCCCGAACACCTCTGGCCTTTCCTTGAGTCTCATTTCCTCCAGTGGGCTGCAGGGGTCCCCTCTCCGGCCTCTCCCCCACCCCTCCCGACCTCCCGCCTCTCACATGCTGTCTTGCGTCGCGGCTCTGACTCTGGCGCGGGGGACAGGTCCCCTAGACTCTCGGTATCTCTGCGGCGGGGCTGCTTGGGGAAGGGGTCACAAAGGAAGGGGAACGCCCCGGCCGGCTGTGGGGGGCGAGGCCCGGGCCCTACCTGCTGGAGTGCCCGACCTGTCCTCGGCGCTTCAAGCTCACTGTTGTGGTCTGGTTACTGCGGAGATAAGGGGCCAATGAGGCCTGAGGACCACGGCCGGGGAGGGATCAAGGCAGCGGGGAGAGGGCGCGGGAGGGGAGGCTGGGGAGGAGGGGCCGAGGAGGCCGCAAGTGCTGGGTCCCGGGCTCTTTGAACAGACGCGTGGGGGAGCCCTCCAAGGGGCGGGGCTAGGAGGGCTGTAAGGGGCGTGGTCTGCGAGGGGTGGGGCTATGGGGGTCGGAAAGGGGAGGCTAGGAGGGCAATGAAGGGCCGGACAGTGGGGGGCCTGCGAGGGACGTTGCTGGAAGGGCTTGCGAGGTGAGGGGCACGGGTCCCTGTCAGGGGCGGGGCTGCAGGGCCCTGGGAGGGGAGGGGCACGGGTCCCTGTAGGGGGCGGGGCCTGGGGGGGCCCTGCGAGGGGCGTGGCATGGGGACCTGTAGGAGGCGGGGCTTGGGGGGGCCCTACGAGGGGCGGGGCACGGGTCCCTGTCAGGGGCGGGGCCTGGGGGGGCCCTGCGAGGGGCGTGGCACGGGGACCTGTAGGGGGCGGGGCTTGGGGGCACGGGTCCCTGTAGGGGGCGGGGTCGGGGGCCTGCGAGGGGAGGAGCACGGGTCCATGTGGGGGCGGCCTGCTGGGAGCCCTGGGAGGGGAGGGGCACGGGTCCCTGTAGGGGGCGGGGCGGCGGGGCCTTGGGAGGGGAGGGGCACAGGTACACGAGGAGGGTGGGGGCTGCGGGGCTTACGGGGGCGTGGCTAGAGGAACACGCGAGGGGTCCGGTGGGAGGGCACAGGAGGGCCGCTGGCTCCCGGGACATGCGGGGCACGGGGCTCATCAGGAGGCACTCAGGGTCGGAGGGCCTGTGGGAGGTGGGGATGGTCTGTGTGGGGAGCACGGGCCTGTGAGGGGCGGGCTGTGTGTTTCCGGGAGGAGGAGGCAGGAGCTGAGAGGGCCTGTGGCGGCAGGGCTGGGAGGGAAGCGTCTGCAAGGCTCGAGCTAGGCCGAAGTCTGTCGGACGGGCCCTGAGAGATGCGTGTCTTAAGCTGATTAAGACCACGCTGAGGATTCATTAGCAGGGAGGCGGTGTGGATGCCGGGAGTTGTGAGGGGGAGGAGCGCTCACCACCACCTCAGGTCCTCACAACGGCTCACTACGCATGCGCAGTCAACGGCCTCCAGGGAAGCCGCCAAAAACCCTTTGCTGCCTGCGGAGTCCGCGCACTGAGGCGGAAGTGGGCGGGGCCTAGGGCGCTTCGCTCCGCCTCTGCCTTCCGGCCACGCCCTGTCTGGCCACACCCCCTCGCTCCGCAGGGCACGCCCCCCGGGAGGCTGACTGCTCCCCACGTGGGCCTCCCTGGAGCGGGCCGGCAGTGGGCGCCGCTCCCTGCAGCCTGGGTGTGCCTGACGCCTGCGGTTTCCTGTGGGAGGAAGCGGCCCGCGGGCGCTCAGCTCAGCTCGTAGCCTTGGAGGCCCGGGAGGGGGAGATCCTGCCACCGCTCCCGGGTCCCCTGATTCTTCCCCTCCACAGGGCCCTAGCATGGGGGACTCCCGAACATCCCCAGGAGGCGCAAGTCTGGCGTTTATTCCACTCGGGGAACTTGATTCAAAGTCCTAGCCTCCTGTCCACCTCCCTCGCTCAAATTTCCTTCTCTCTCTTTTCTGGTTCCCAGGTTCCTCCCAAGACTAGGTCCGGTTCCCTTTGTCTGCACCCCAGGAAGAGCAGAGGACGCTCCAGGCCCTAATTTTTCCTGGGAGCCAGGAAATTAGAAAGACCCAGACTTTCTAATTTCCTTGCGGTTCTGAGCTCAGAGCCTCTCTGTCCTCAAAGACTTAAATTTGTGACTACTTATTTCCCAACCCAGAGACCCTCATTTTGTACTCCCAACCTTTTAGCCTTGGAGCCCAAAGGACCCAAGAATTTGCCCCTTCCCCAAGTCCTAGAGTCCTCGATCTGGGGTCCCCCAGTACTGAATCCACTCAGGGCCCCAATGCCTCCTGTAACTAGCACATACAACAGTGCTGTGCCAGGGGACTACTCTTAGAACCACCCTATGTGGTATTTACTATTTTTAGCCCTATTTTACAAATAAAGAAACTGAGGCCTAGAGCGGTTATTAGTAACTTGCCCAAAATCACAGCTAATGAGTAAAGCAGCTTGGATTTGAATCCAGCCACTGTGTCTCTAAAGTCTGTGCTATACTGTTACCCAGCTTCCAGGTCACTCGAGTACCCACCCAGTCACTGAAGTGCCCATCCCTCACCCCCTCAGGGAGCCCAGATGACCAACCACTCTCCCTCCCCCTAGCTCTGGCCCCATCAGATACCCAGACATCCCATCATCCAGCTCTCTTCCTTTGCAGGAACCCAGGATGTCAGTCCACCAGCTCTCAATTCCACTTCAGGACCCCAGACAACTGGACACCTCACTTTTCACCAGCAGCCAACTCTTCCAAGAGACCCACGTACATAGTAGTCACCCCCCACCCTAATTCAGTATCCCTAGAATACATAATAATCATCATCATCATACTTAACACTAAGTCCCCAGTATTGCACTTCTGTTTAAAACCTCCAGTGGCTTCCCACCACACTTAGAATAAAATCCAGGCTCCTCTAGGCTTCAAGGGCTCTCTTTGATTTCCTTTACTACCCCTCCCTCTAGCTACCTATGTTCTAGCCACACTGGCCCTTCTGTCTGCTCCCCAAACAACCTGAGCTTGTTCTCAAAGCCCTTTACACTTCCTCTTCCTCCCAGCATTCAAATGACTCCTGTCTTCAGGTTTTCTTCAGGTCTCGGCTCAGATGTCACCTCCTCAGAGATGGCTCGCCTGATGACCCTGTTTAAAGTCGCCTCCCCTCATTACCTCCATCACTCTATTTTATTTCCTTCAAAGCACTTAGCACTCTGTGATATTTATCAGCTTCAGTGATATGTTTCCTCTTTATTGTCTGTCTCCCTTAAACTGGAAGGTGGACTCCATAATAACAGAAGGGCTCGCATCTGTTTTCTTCATTATTAACTCCTGGTTCAAAATAGATGTTCAATAAATATTTGATGAAGAAAGGGATGAACATGTTAGGTGTGTTAGTGTACTGGTATGACCTTATTCATTTAGAATAAGTATCAGAATTATTATCTGTATCAGTATATTGTCAGTATTATTAGTATTATTGTACCCACCTCACAGATTAGGAAACCAGGGCTCAGAGAGGTGAAATAATTGGTCACCCCCAGGCAGGAAACTGTAGCACTGGGACACTCAACCTCCACTTCCTGCCGCCTTCCAGAGTTTCACCCTTCCCCATTCCCATCCTCTGACCCCCACTGTGGTGCCAGCTCCACCAGCTCCACCAGCCCCCAGCACACTGCACACGGCAGGAATCTGACCTCCTCTCCAGACTCCCATCCCTGTGGGTATCCAGTCCTAAGCCCCATCAAGGAAAGCAGACATCCGATCCCAGGATGAGACCCAGAATGGAGGCCTGAGATTTGGGCCCTCCCACCCTCTGACACTTGCCCCACCCCAGGGCCCCTGGTCCACCCGGCGTGCTCCAAGGACTTCTCAATCCTGGGAGATGAGAAGATGCTTGTCTGGAGGCAACGGGTGGGGGCCCAGAGAAGGAGGAACCAAGTGCCTGGGCCCTCCCTCTGGCTGCAGACCTCAGCTGGGTGGGGTCAGGGTGGGTATAAAAGGGTCGGTATATATTGAGAGGAGCAGAGAAGGAGAAACCAGGAGAGTGAGAAGAGAGAGAGGAGGAGGTATAGGCAGTGAGGACAGGAGGGAGAGACAAGAGGCAGAAGGAGAGAGAGAGAGAAAGAGAGAGAAAGGGTTCCCGGATTGGAGGGGAGAAGGAGGGAGAGAGCCAGAGGGGAGAGCGAGCAAGCGAGGGAGGGAGGGAGGAAGGCGGGGAGGGAGGCGGGGGCCTCGACGGGGTGGAAGGAGGGAGGAGAAGGGCGGGGCACGGAGGCCAGAGCGAGGGACGAGACTCCAACTCTGACTTTTCTGCTGCTCGGTAAGTTTCCAGTCCGTTATTCAGACTGGGATTTCTTTATTTACTTGGAAGTACACAGTTTGGGACGGTCACCCCCAGGCTGGGAGAGACTCCCCGACTCTCCACCCCGTGGAAATCTTTGTAATTTAAGAAGTGATCTCGTAGCACTTGGGGTGGGGATTCAGGAAGGGGTGGGGCCCGGCAAGGTTTTGGGGTTCCCAGCAGAACACTCCACCCGAAAACTTCCCGCACTTTTTCCCCCGGCTCTCCACTCTCCCTGAAGTCTGACATCAGGGCTTTGCATGAGAACACCCCAAGTCTGGGGGACCTCCAGGCCCCCCCCTTTCTGGACACTGAAAGGTCATGTGAGGTTGGCTCTTTCTCCTCAGGCCATCTCCTCTCAACACAGATCTTGTCCATTTTCCTTACAAGATGTCCAGAGGGCACCAGTCTGGCAGCAGGGTTGGGTGGGGACCTCGTGGGCACAGCCAGGGGCTGGGGTTTCCCTGGTGCTTGGAGGCAGGGGGTGGGATGAGTCACCGGATGACTCACCCGGTCCCCCTTCCTCCCTGCCCCAGGAGAGGAGTGGGGTGAGTCAAGGATGCCTGTCTCTGAGGGCAGCCCCCAGCTTCTGATGAATCTGGAGGGGTGTCAACTTGAAATTTCATATCGTGGCCCATACGTGCCCAGGGGCAGGGCTCTGAGAAGAAGGGGACCAGCTCACTAGTCCTACTCACTCCTGGACCCCAGAGTCCATCCCTGGCTCTCACCATCCCCCAAGGGAAATTCAGGATTCCAGGACCCCAACCCCTCCTCCCTTAGACCCAGGAATCTGGACCACAGCCTCCTCCTCCCTCAGACCCAAGAGTCTGGACCCCAGCCTCCTCCTCCCTCAGACCCAGGAGTCTGGACCCCACCCTCCCCCTAGACCCAGAAATCTGGACCCCAGCCTTCTCTCCCCTCAGACCCTGGAGTCTGGACCCCACCCTCCACCTCCCTCAGACCCAGGAGTCTGGACTCAGCCCCCTTCTCCACCGGCATTCAGGCATCTCACCCACCCCTGTGCCAACCTCTTGAAATGACTATCTCCTGACGTCCCCCATACCAGGCTTCCACTGCAGCCATGTCGCTCCTCCTGCTGGTGGTCTCTGCCCTTCACATCCTCATCCTCATCCTGCTTTTCGTGGCCACTTTGGACAAGGTAAGCCTACTGGAGCAGAGCAGCAGGGCCTCCCGCTGTCCTGCAGACTGCCACCACACCCCTCCTCTCCTTTCAAGTCACTCTGGCCCTGCCCCTTTTCCCTAGCATCTACCCCTCTGAGCTCTACCTCTGATGCCTCCGCTCTGCCCTGTCCCCTAACCCCCCCTTACCTACTAAATCCATGCTTTCCCCCAGTTCAGCTCCTTCCCAGCACCTCACCCTTTTCCTAATCCTTCCCTCAGTCTCCCTGACCCCACCCACTTTCCTTCCCTACTCCCGCCCTTGTTTCTCTGTCCATCCCAGTCCTGGTGGACCCTCCCGGGGAAGGAGTCCCTGAACCTCTGGCACGACTGCACGTGGAACAGTGAGAACAAAACCTGGGCCTGCAGTAACGTCAGCGAGAACGGTGAGGGGTGAGGGGTGTCGGGGAGGCTGGTCTGCAAAGGGGAGGGGTAACCCCAGGTCTCCTCCCAGGACCGAGGATTGGGAACCCCCCAAGGTCTGAGTGGGAAGGTCTGAGTCCCAATGCTGAGTGAGTGGAGCTGATGTATGACCAACCCACCTCTCTGGATGATAGGGGGAAAAAAGCTCATGTTCTAAAGAGGATGGGCCAAATGCTCCCCTCCCTCATGATTCAGAAGGAGTGGAGGCCACATGCTATAGGTTTAAGGAATGGGGAGAAAGCTCCCAAGATTATTAAATGATAGAATTATGTTTCCAGAGTCCTAAGGAGATGGGACTGGTGTTCTGAATGGATGGTTGGGACCAATTTGGCCAAGTTCCAAGGAGGTGGGGCTGGAACCACATTAAGGTTCTAAAGGAGTGGGGCCGGATGCATCTGAGTTCTTTAAAGGGGCAGAGCTGCATCCATGGAAATTTCTAAGTGAAAGAAGGTGAAAGATTAAATGCTTTTCTCCTAAGGGCAAAGCAAGAATTTCTACTTTCACACCTCTCTTCAACATTGTACTGGAGGTAGCCAATGCAACAAGGCAAGAAAAAGAAATAAAAGGCATAAAGATGGGAAAGGAAGAAGTAAAAGTCTCTATTCCCAGTGGATATATTTCCGTAGAAAATCCTAAAGAATCTGCAAAGCACCTTCTAGAACTGATAAGGGAGTTTAGCAGTTACAGGAATCAAGGTCAATATACGTGATACTCCTAAGTATCTAAGGTTGTGGGGCTCTACGTGGGAGAAGGGTTGGGGGGGCAAATAATGAGCAAACAGGTGGAGCTGGAACTTTGGACGTGCTGTGACCTCCACCTCTATCTCACTGCAGGCTGGCTGAAGGCGGTGCAGGTCCTCATGGTGCTTTCCCTTATCCTCTGTTGTCTGTCCTTCATCCTGTTCATGTTCCAACTCTACACCATGCGGCGAGGAGGGCTCTTCTATGCCACTGGCCTCTGCCAGCTTTGCACCAGTGAGCACTCTCCCCTGGGAATTGGAGAGAAGGCGGGGGAGGGGGGCTGTCAGGATGCTGGGGGCCCTGGGAATGGACATCTGGCACCTGAGGTGCCTCCATCGGCTACCTTTCTGCCCGAAGGACTTATGGGAGTTGTAGTTTTCAGGGACTCAGTGGTGGTTTGTGGTGTCTCTGAGTCATGGGGGAGCTGGCACTTAGAGCTTCAAGGACTCAGGGCTGGGGTTAGGTGGTGTGGACAAATAATTTAGATCCCAGGGATGGGGGGGTTGGTAGGCGGCTAATTAATACCCCAAGAGAGAACTCTGAGTCATAATAGTAGTGGTCTTATAATGGCAGCCAGCTGCTGTTTCGGGTGGACCTACTGTGTATCAGACACTTCAGGGAGTTTAATGTACTTTTCAATCCTTTGACTTCAGGTGCAAAGGGCTAAGCTGATCATAGTCATCAGTTTGGGGAACATTATCTTCCTAGAGTCCTGCAAAGCCCCTCTCTTGTTTTATTAATTCACTATTTGCGGGCTTGTCTTGTAGAAAGGCACTCAAAAATCTTCCTTGAATGAATGGAGGGGTGAGCAGATATTATCGTCCCATTTTATTGCTGAGTAAATGGGACCCAGAGAGATTAACTGCCCAAGGCCAGTCTGCAAGGAGCGTGGTTGCCCGGCGCTCGGGGTGCAAACCACAACTCCCACTGGGCATTGGTGCTGCCCGCTCGCCCTCCGGCGGCTTCTTTGCCCCATGGGTTGTTGAGAAATGCAATCTTCTCGCGGGTCCTGCGTGATACTGGTTCCCGCCTTCCCGCAGGCGTGGCAGTGTTTTCCGGGGCGCTGATTTACGCCATTCATGCGAAGGAGATCCTGGCGGAGCACCCGCAGGGGGGCAGCTTCGGTTACTGCTTCGCCCTGGCCTGGGTGGCCTTCCCCCTCGCCCTGGCCAGCGGCGTCATCTACATCCACCTGCGGAAGCGGGAGTGAGGGCCCCGCGTCTCCTGGCCGCCCCAGCCCGCTCCCGGCCCCTCTGCCTCACCCCGAAGCCCCCGCCCCCGTGCATCCTCCAGAAAATAAAACCGTTTAACCGCCGGTTCTGCCTTTGCCTCCTTCCTTCCTCCTCCAGGGACCCAGGCTGCTCCTGAACCTGGGACAGCCCCCACCACCAGCAGCCCCGCCCCCAGAATGTCCAGCTCCAGGTCCCCAGTCCCTTCTAAGCCGGGACACAGGAGCTCCGTGCTCCCAGCCGCCTTTCCCCTTCCACAGACCCAACGCCCTGGGCTCTCCAGTCTCAAGACTCAGGATTCCTCCCGAGTCTAGACCTTCAGGCACTTCTGGGGAAGAACCAGGAGTCTGGGTTTCCAATTTTCTCTTTCCTTGCACCAGGCAGGATGTGATCGTTGGTCTCTTTTTTCTCTGACTCTTCCTCTGGGAAGACGTTTTTCATTTCCCTCTCGAAACCCAGTCTCCTTCCCTCACTAGAACCCAACCCCTCTCCTCTCCCCCACCCCAATGCTGCCTCTACCTCACAGGACACCTTAGCAAAAATTAGATGGCACCCCCCCCTCCAGGCTTACTCAGACCCACATCTGGGTAAGACACACGTGGGGAGGAGAGGAGGCCTGGCTGTGTGCCGTTGTGCAGTGAACACTCTGCACAACTGCACATGGCCGTCCTATCTCCCCTGTTCAGAAGATCCAGTCTGTTTGGAAACCAGGGCCTCTCCTCAGGAATCAGGTCCTCTCTAAGATCCTCTTCTGGGACCCAGAGCCAGTCTGTTTCACCAACCAGGAACCCAGTCTCCCTTTAGGATTACAGCTTTCTCTGCCTGGGACACACTCAAATGTATCCCCCCAAATCTACAGTCTCTTCCTTCCGGAATTCTGATGCCTGCCTTCTCTCCAACCCCTGCAGCTACCCGCTCATCCAGATTTATTAAACATGATTTATTCCTTTGGGAGAGGGGACAGGGGGGAAATTGATAGACAAATAAATATTGCACAGGCCACTGGTGGAGGGAAGATGCAGACCGAGGTAGTTTCTGTAGAAAGGGCGAGGAACCTGGCAGGGAAGGCACCTGAGGCTGTTGGGGCCTGGGTGGAAGGGAGTCCTGGGGTGAGGATGGTCTCGGGTTCCTCCTGGCCCACAGCTTTCTGCCTAGCACAAGGCTCCCAACCCCTTCAGCCTGGAAAAGCTGATCAGCAGTTGACCAGATGGCCTGCCTTGTAAGTAGCGGCAATTGATAAAAAGATCAGGTTTCCTTTAGAAAGTCTGATTGGTTGCTTCTATGCAGACACAAGTGGCTGCCCAAAGCGGACGGCGCCCAGCAGCTGTCATTGGCAGTTTGCCAGAGAGCAGGGCTGACCGGCTCTCATTGGCTGTGGGCTGGGGCTCCGCCCTGGTGAACATGATGGGCAGTTTGCCCGGAGCAGGCTAAAAAGCCAACGATATGGAGCCCCCGGAGGGCACAGCTAAACTGTGCTGGTGGTTTGTAGCGCTGAACAGCTGCGATTGGCTGACACTCCCTTTTCAGCCAAACCACATTTGGATGTTTATGGCGGGGGTGGGACTAAGAGATGGAATAGGAGCGGAGCCATAAAGCTTGGATGGCCGTTCAACAGGAGAGGGGGGCTAGCGAATGCAGGCTGCCTTGATGGGCGGCTTTAAGAATACAGTGTAGCGTAAGTGATTGCCTCTGAGCACAGTAAGTGGAAATTGGGAAGTGGCAAAGCATGATTGACAGCTTGTCGTGGAGGAGGCGGGGCTTAGTTCCTAACCAGGTGGCTGGGCGGGGCTGGGCAGAGAGGTTTCTGTCACGGGTTAGCACTGCTGGGTGCGGCCTGGGGGGACTCGGAAGTGACTGCAGTCAGCGGGTCTAGTTTGGGGAAACCCGGGGGCGGGTACATCCCGACGCTGGGGGTCAGGGCTCTTAGGTGGGCCAGGGCCCGAGTTCCGTTGAAGGCCACGTCACAGCCTGACTGGGCCAGGAGCCAGTTCTCCACCTCCGACTGCAGCCACTGGGAGGTCTCTGCAGGGGGAGAGGCAGGGGTTGTGAGGAGGTCAAACTGGGACCAGGGAGGACTGGGAGGGTCTGAGTTTCTGAGTTTGAGGCTAGGAGGGGAGTGGGACAAGGCCCAGGAGGCTCGGTTCTGGGGATCTCATCTGGGGACAAGCCAGGGACTCTAGTTCAGGGAAGGGTGGGGGCTCCCCAGGGAAGGGACCACCTGGGGCTTACACAGGAAGGGACCAGGGTCTCTTGTAGGGAGTGTTTGGGTTCACGTATAGGAAGGAGCACGCGGGGAGTGGGGGCATGCCACAAAAAGAGTCTGATCCAAGACCCCTATGGAGGTTAAGGTTAGGCGATGGAGGTCACACCAGGGAAGGATCATGTCCACCAAGATGGGAAGCTGGGTTCAGGGGTCCCGTCTGCTGAGGGCCAGGGTCACCAGTGGGAGCTAGGAGTTGGGGAGCTAGGGCAGCGAGGGGATGATGTCTCTCTGGGGCAGGGCCACTTGAGGCTGAGAGGAGTCTCAATCCTGTAGGGACACGGTGGAGTCTGTTCCAGGTGGGGCCAAGTCGGAGCCAGGCCGCGATGGGATGGGGCGGGGCCTCGCGGGATACAAGAGGACCGGGGAGGAACTCTAGGGGCGGGGCTGCAAGGGGACGGGGCGGGGCCTCTCTGGGCGGGGCTGCAAAGGGGCGGGGACGGGGCTGCAAAGGGCCCGGGACTCCAGGGGTGTGGCTACAGAGGGATGGGGCGGGGCCTCTCTGG